GAATTTATAATGATAGTATCAGGAGCAAAGTTAAAAAACGAATCCTTGGCTGAGAAGGCATATTCGGTTCCCATCCAATGTCCCTCTCTCCATTTTTTAGGTACCCTTCTTTTCCCTCTCTCTATGTCTATGTCTATGTCTATGTCTATGTCTATGTCTATGTCTATGTCTATGTCTATGCTTTTAGAAAACTAACTCCACATGCATTTTAATTTTAATTTTAATGTTTTGTTTTTATTATTTATCTATATCGATGTAATACGGTTTCTCATGATTTTAAGAAAGCGATATATATATATATATATAGTTATTACAACTCTTCATGAGTATATATAATGAGATTTTAGTTAAATCCATAACCTTCTCATGAATTTAATTGAAAACTTATTTACGTAAATAAAATAAAAAATACATTGTTTAAAGTATATTTATACATGTAAGTATATTAAATTTAAAAAATAAGAATAAGGATAGGAAAAACTCGTATCTATTTGAAAATTCAAATGTTAGATTTAATTTTTCAATATCATGTGGTGTGGAGATATCTCATTTCAAACATAATTTTCTTGTCCACAAACTTCAACTAACACCCATGATATGAATGAGGACATAAATGGCATTTGTCTATCTTTCACTTTCATATTCATATTCATATTCATATTCATACATATGTAATAGTAACAGTAACAAGAGGTATGGATGGCTACATTTCAATTTGTACATCCGGTGTCTTTATTATTTAAAGACTATAATTACAGGCTACATGGTTGGATCTACTTTTACTATCCAATGAAAAAAAAAAAGTTAAAAAAGGTCTTAAATGTGTATTAATTGACTTTAAATTGATGTATGTTTGATTAAGTTAACAGAAAGTAAGCTTCTTTTTTAACACTTAAAAAAGATGGGAAATTTGAATAATATTATATTATATTATCTATAAAACTAACATATTTGTATGCAGGAGATGCAGATTTCTTGAAGCCACATGGGATTGAACTGTTGAAATCAGTTGAAGATCCCGTAATCATTCATCATCCTAAAGGCCATACAATTCCAAGACTTGGTAAACCTTTTGCCATTCTACATCATCTTATTACCACCTCTATTTCTATTTCTATTTCTATTTCTATTTCACTCCACATATCCAAACCAACATATTCATCTATAATGGGTAACACCAACTAAATCCATTTAAAATTTGTAAACCAAAATATAAGATTTCAAAATCTTCCATATTTCAGATGAAAAAGGGTTGGAGATTATGATGAAATTTCTTGATCGGATTCAAAAGATTGCTTCCAAGAAGGAAGATGTAGTCACACTTGGTTGAAATTTCTCTTGTAATTGTTGCATTTAAAAGCCGAACCTAGAAAAATATATCAACGATTGTTGCATAAATTTTCAATGCTAGTTTAGAACTTGTGAAGCATATGCTTCCGCTACATCTAAATAATTGTTGGAGGAAATTTATAGTCCACATCAGATATAAAAAGTTGTAAAACCAAATGTTATTCTTTATAAAATTTTAGTTGACTTACATGAATGCAACACCCCGTATATTTAATTTGTGTTGATTATATATATATATATATATATATATATATATATATATATATATATAT